AACAAGAATATAATTTATTTTTTTACAAGTGTTATAAAGAATTTTTGCTTTTGTTTGAAATTGTTTTTAAAGTTTAATTATTTTTATTATTATTTTAAGTGTAATAAATTTGATATATTTTGATTTTGATAAAGACTCAAGTATAGTGTATAGTATAATCTACAAGTATAAACCGATACATATAAATACAATAAACCGATTTTGTCTCCATTTAATTGAATTTTATAAAAATAAAAATTAAAAAAATCTAAAGAGCTAATCTAATAGGTGACTAGTGGTATGTAATGAGGGGATGGTCCACTATAATCAACCACAAAATAATTTGGGTGGTTTTTCCATAAAACTTAAACTTTACAGAGGCGCTTTGTGATGACACTAGAGCAAGCCATGAGAAAAGTGATTTACTACTTTTTATTATTTCATACCTTCCAACTGCCATTATTACTTTTGTCATTTTTTACATCTGCTTTAGCCTAATTTTGACATCTGTTACCTGTAATTCTTGACACCTGTCAAAAAGATGTCAAAAATCACAATGTTTCGGGTGATTTAAAACTGTCCAAATTCGAACAAAATTGGATAATTGAAAACTTGCCTTACATTTAATTTATTTAAAACTATCTAATTAAAATGAAAACAAAATAAAATACATTATTAATACCTTAGTTTTAGGGAATTTAAACCTTGCTTAAGAGCATACCTTGTAAACAGATGTGATTACTGCATTGGTAATTTTTTTAACTAAATGTTTTTCTTGTATTTGTATATTTGTACCAAACTTTCTTAGATTTGTTCGTTAGTACTTTGTTAATCTTGAATATTTATATATACTTTTTTGGACGTGTTCAACATTGTAAAGATTGCAATCTTTCTGAACTAATAAATCTATTTTATTCTATTCTATTCTATAGACATTGCCGTTGAAAATACGTAAAAGGGTATCAGTAAGTACAATAAACAAATATTAGAAATATTCCCCAACACCAAAACCAAACTCAAGGTGCTTAAAGTACTTTTCGCCAACGATGTTGGCATCTTCAGAAGCGAAGTGTAGCTAAATCTAAGTAGTATTGTTAGATCTAATCACTAGGGTATCTAAAAATGGTAGCTGGCCATCTTTTTCCAATTCAAAGGTGGGGAATACAATTATTCAACTTGGAAACAAAATCATCTAAGCAAGAAGCGTTTTGATCGAAAATAGCAAATATATGCAACCTTAGCTTATAAGTAGTATAAATATGGTAAATTTAGCAGTTAGATTTAGTTACACTTCGCTTCTGAAGATGCCAACATCGTTGGCGAGAAGTACTTTAAGCACTTTGTGTTTTGTTTTGGTAATGGGGAATATTTTTAATATTTGTTCAAAATATCACCAAAGTTGTCCTTTTTCAAGTATTAGTAAGTACAATATTAAGTAATAATAATAATAAATATTTATTAACAGAGTAAATCCATAAATACTTTAAAAGAAATAACATAAAGGTTTATTACACTGAACAAATAATTCTAACTAAAAGTTACAAAAAAGTCTATATATGAGACATTCTTTTACATATCGTACGGATTACAGAAAACATATTTTTTCAAATTGTTAAAATGACTTAATTTTTTTTTACAGCATCTTTTCATAAATTTAGCCGACCCCTATATCGGAATTTTTGCAATAAATTTATTTTTCCAAAGATATATTGATTTAAACTTTTGATAAAATTTGAAAAAATGCTGAATTCTTTTGTACTTAAAATTCATTATCTCCGGTTCTACTGATCGGATCGATTTCATTTTTTTTTTATTTTAAACCATATTACATAGTCTTTTTAGATAAATATTTAAAAAGTTTGTGTTTTGTTTATTATTTGAAAAAAATATTTTTTTTTTGTATAAACAGATTTTTTGTGTTTGCCCCCTCTATGAAAAAAAATGAAAAAAATACTGTTCTATGCACTATTTATTACTCTACAAAATGAATTTTTCAGAAAAATGGAGACTTTTTTGGATCGGAAGATATTAAATATTTTCGAGCGCGTGACCGGTACAAGCCGTAAGGGGGCATCCATTAATTACGTGAGGCGTTTAGGGGAGGGAGGGGGTCAAGCCAAATCTCATCAATTCTTACGTAAGGGAGAGGGGGGGGGTCTCGGCAAATATCACGTAACTTTTAACAAAGTACACTGAAAGAAATATATACTAAAGTTAAATAAAAAAATAATTAGGGCAAATATATTTTATGTTTCATATTTGGACTACCACATACATTGCTAAAACAAATATATTCGTTTGGTTAGCAGCCTATTGCTGCCCTAGCAATATAAATGTGTTTCTAGCAATATTTTTTTGCTGTAATTCACTTATAGTTTACATTTTATAGTAAGGGTAAGTTTATTTTTATTTAGATCTAACATATCTTCTTTACAATAAATGTATTACAAAATTTAACATACATTCATAATAAACAGTAGTATAAATGTGTAAAGCACTAGTATAAAATTTTTAGTATAAATTTGTGTTTACTTTTAGCAACAAATTTCTTTCAGTGTATGTTTTTTTAATAAATCCAACAGAATCAAGAAGTTTAACGTATAAACATTAAAAATAAGCATTTTTTAAAATCTCACGTGAGATTAGGGGGGTTGAGCCAAATCTCACGACATCTCAGCAAGGGGGGAGGGGGTCAAAAAATCGCTAAAATTGACTCACGTAATTAATGGACACCCCCTAATCAGACATCTTCGAAACGCTAACACATTTAGGATAGTGTAAACTCATACATCGTTTTAAAAAAATTCCATCGCTTTTTGTAAATTAATTCTGATTTTAAAGGTTTTCAATAATTTTAAATAAATTAAATTTTAAATAATACAAACTCCAATTAATGAGTAAATTTATTAACTGGCAGAATTGACATTTGCACAAATAAGTCACCAATTAAAAGATGTCGAATCATGGCACTCTTATACAAAATATCACGTCACCCGCCACATGCACTAATACGTTTGAATATTACGCGCTTGACAGTCCTGTCACGCGCTCGAAAATGTTTAATATCTTCCGATCCAAAAGAGTCTCCACTGTTCTGAAAAATGTATTTTGTAGATAAAGAAAAAGCGCATAAAATACTAATTTTTTCCTTTTATTTTATAGAGGGGGCAAACATGAAAAACTAGTTTAAAAAATTAATCTGTTATTAAATCCCTATACATAAAAAAAATAAAAATTTAATTTATTTATTTGAAAAGCCTATTCAATAAGGTTTAAAACAAAAAAAAAACAAAATCAATCCGATCAGTAGAACCGGAGATAATAGGTTTTATGTAGAGGAGAATTCATCGTTTTATCGCAATTCATAAAAACTTTATATCGACATATCTCTGAAAAAACAAATTTTTTACAGAAAACCTGATACACGTATCTGCTTATTTACTGAATAGAAGCGGTAAAAAAATTTTCATGCGAATCCAAACCCTGAAGTCAAAATAGGTGTACGATTTGTAAAAGAATGTCTCATATGTATGATACTTACTAACCTGAATAAATGACACAACGGTGCAGTAAATGTGTAATTAGTCCTATGAGACGGACATGAAACAAGACGGAAATGAAATACTTGAATCTGTCTTATGAGTCAAGATGGTACATTAAATCAGGGTTCGAAAATATCATATTTATATAAATATCAAAATATCACATATATATATATAGCGATATATATCAACATCTTGATATTTATTTTTTTATTTATTTCTTTTAAGCTTTTGGTCAAAAATTAATTATATTAGCCAGAATAATAATGTTATTAATAAATTTATTTAAAACAGTAAACAAAACACTTAAAAAACAAAAAATAAATTTTAAGCAAAAAAATATGAGTAGAAAAATATATTTCTTAACCTTTGGTTTGGTACAATCAATATTAAGGAACTGATTGGGATGTGAAAAAGCAGCTAACCTTGTTTTTTTGTTTAAATTTTTGTATAAAGAGCATTCAGCTGCAACTGAAGTTTGCAATGTAGAGTGGATATGGGGTGAGGCTGCTTCTGCACAGGAAATTGCCTGTTCTGATTCAGATGATGAACCTTTAATTAATATTTTTTGAAATTAAAATTTCATATTATGGAATATGACCGTTCTAATATCACTTTTATCTATGGAATGACATTTATTCCGTAAAGTGTTACAGAATTAAATATTCTATCATCTGATAACAGAATATACACTCGTGGCGACATCTCTGTTTTTAATATCTAACAAATTTTAGACCGATCCAACCTCACTTTCTTCCAATTAAATTATTTGTCTATGGTATTTTTTGGAAACGTAGAAAAAGTATAGTCTGATACACATTTGGAATTGCATATTCCGCTCTCGTGAAACCTTCAAACTCGCCTTCGGCTCGTGTGACAATCTCTTCTCTCGAGCTGAATATGATGTATTCCAAACTTGTTACAGAATATACTATTCCAAGCAAGCTGTCGATAATAATTTAAAGAAGTTTTTTTTCTGTAGGCCAACCGGTAAGACTTAATGACTTCCACCATACCATTTGATTTGTATTGCGAAAAAGTGGTCCAAACATGTATTTTGGAAATGAAAATGAGGTGCATGTTAAGGCCATTACAAGTGGCAAAAAATCCTTTTTATGCTGGCAATAAAAGCGTAAGATTCTTCTTTCTGCTTGTTGTTTAATCATTGCCCAAAAAATCTATGGTCCAACATATTTGCTGCAAAATGAGCGCCTCCTAATGCCATACTTCTGCGCCTGTGAAAATGTTCTTTGACTTCTAGTTGTTGATCTTTTAGATCTATTTATAATTTGTTCCATATTTCAACAGCTATGGAAATTAAAATTGACGCTCTTTGCATTCGATCAAGAGCCACTGCAATTGGTGTTTATCATTTACAATTTTGACAATTTCATTATCAACTTTCTCTTTATTGTCTTGACATATTTGCTCAAGAATACCTTATGATTTTATTGCGTCATTCATTGTGTTACATCTTACTTCCTGGGGCATAACAAGCTTCTTTCCCTGTTCTTCTTTAAAAATGCACCAGGAAGGTGTTTATTTCTAAAATATTTTATTACTTTAATTATAGCTTGTGTAGCTTCTGGAATTTCAAGATCTTGTGCTAGTAAATTTAGCATATGAGCTGAACATCCATACTGAATAATATTAACGTCATTTAAAAGATCCCAACGCATTTTCTGTACATTTGCGGCATTAACAGTCACAAAACTTCCCACTCTTACTTGAAAATCTTCTTGGGCAATCTTTGTAGCTTTTATAGCAAGATCTTTTAAATTTTCTGCGGTATGACGATCTACGCCTGTATCTACACAATCTACCAAAATAGATTCACTTTTTGAATTTACTATATTACAACAAATAAGTGCGAGCGAAATTCTGAATCCGAATTGCATCTCAAATGTCAGGGTGATGTCATATTTGAGTTTTTAAACGAACAATCCACTGATGAATATCAGTGTAATATACGATTTCAGCTTGTACACGAACAATCCACTAACGAATATCAGTGTAATATCCGATTTCAGCTTGTACACGAACAATCCACTGACGAATATCAGTGTAATATCCGATTTCAGCTTGTACACGAACAATCCACTGACGAATATCAGTGTAATATCAGATTTCAGCTTGTACACGAACAATTCACTGACGAATATGAGTATTATATTCGATTTGAGTTTGTAAGCAAACAATCTACTGAAAAATATCAGTGTGGTATCCGATTTAAGTTTGTAAACGAACAATCAAATGTCACACTGATCAGTGTCGATATATCGACAGTACTATTCAGACGTCTATTCAGGCTATTGCAATTGCAACAATAAATTAATTTATAACAATTGTTATTGTTGGTAATTTATTAATATTCTATGGAAAGAAAACGAGATTTAACTCGAGCGTGCGTTTTTAAATGTCGGGCTCTTAAAAAAGCAAAGTTGGCATCTATAGACCAAGTTCAACAATTGTTAACTTAAGTTATGCAAAATGTGTTAGCACGAATAAACGATAGGGCTAATGCTATATTGCATATTGGACAAGTGGAAAATATTATCGATCCGGAAAATAATCCACTCAATGACCATGTAAATCAAGAAGAAAATGAAGGCCAGGACATTTTAAATGAAATACAGGAAATTGGGGAATATCCTGACTTGGTTGAAAATGAAGAAACCAACAACCTCGTCCTAAACAATGATATTTTAAATGAAGAAAACCAACATCCCGATAATGAGTATTATAGTTATGATGAGGAGGACAGAAATAGTGAGAATGAGGAAGACGAGGTTGATGAGGACAATGCAGATATAGCAAATTTAAATTATGGAATATTCCCCAATGTAGAGGAACCAGATGACATTAAAGATTTGAGAAATTGAGCTCTACAAATTCCTAAAACCCTAGTAACAGACCTGTTGCAAATTTTGCGAAGGCGAGCATTTCCAGAACTACCTTTGGATAAGACTGTACCTAGGAAATACTATTTATTTTGTTTGTAAGGATTTCAATTTTATTTTTATTAAATGTTTTACTTTTTAACATTTGCATTTGTAAATATAGCAAACAGAAACCAAAGCTATAGATGCAGATGCTAGAAAATACAAAAGTCACTTATAAATTTGACTTTTGTATTTTCTTGTGCCTGCAGCTATAGCTTTGCGTTTCTTTTTGCTATATTTTTACCTAACCATTAAAATATCACACTGACGATAAATATCAGCCTGATATTGCAAAGAAACTTCACACTGACATCTGCAATAAATATAAGCCTGATATTTCTGAAAAATATCACAATAATATCATCAAAGGACATCAGCCTAATATTCCAGACAGAACATTACACTGACATCTGCAATAAATATCAACCAAGCGTTACATGGAATTGTCAGCCTGATGTCCGTTTCGTGTACGTCAGCTGATGTTCGCGGATACGATTCAGATATCACCCTAACGTAAATCGGATTCAGAATTTCGCTCGGGTGGTTTATTGTGAATATTGCCTTAACCACCCATTGACATGCACACTGTGGAATTTTTAAATTCTTTTCTGCACTCTGTATTTCTTTGTACACAGCATCTAAAATAGATCCACCAATTTGCTTTGCAGAGGAGCCTTTACAACCAGGGCGTAATAAAGAACACATTTTTTTAAACTCAGAGTGTTCAGCGTGGTTGAACGGCGTAGTTGTGGCATAAAAATATCGCGCTATTTGCTTGTTGATGTTAATTGAATATTCATTAGACGTTGCAATAAAGTCTGAGTCACTGAGAATAGGTAACTTTTTTGTTTCTTTGCAGGTTGATAAATTTTATAAAATAAATACTCCTAGGATTATTCATAAAAATATAAACTATAGTTCAACATTTTATTTCAGATGATTGTGTTTTTTTACCACCTGCAAAGAAACAAAAAAGTTATCTTTTCTATTCAAAATATAGAGCCGATAGCGTCTACAAGTAAAGAAGGTAATTATTATAATAGGTCTAATACATTAAATGTATTAAACCTATAGGTTTAATAAATTTAATGTATTAGACCTATTATAATACTCTATAGAGTTGGGGATGGTCAACTGACCGCGGTCAATTGACTGTCAATTGACCGGTCATTTTGCAGCATTTTATTTAGGTATCAACAATTACCCTTGAATCTCAAAATTTTTGCGATCGTGCAATATCGACATCATTTACAATTTGGTGGTTCTCCGAGTCGAGGGGTTGCTAGGCCGGACTCGGCGCTTTGCCCTTAAACCGGGACATATCTTTTTTAATAGCGAAACATAACTTTTTAAAGCCGCACAAACGTTTCTAAAGATGGACATAACTTTTATAATAAAAAAAATTGGAAACGTATTTTAATTACCTATTTATTAAGTACAAATAAATCACAGTAATATTTATTTTGATTTAATTTTATTTTGGTCAATTGACCGGTCAATTGACCAAAAACAATTTGACCGGTCAATTCCACAACCCTAATTAAACCTATTATAATAGTTACTAAAATAAATCCACCAATTTGCTTTTAAACTCTGAGTGTTCAGCGTGGTTGGACGGCGCACTGTGGGCCAGAAATTCTCTAAACATTGAAAAAGTCAATTTTTAATAATCATGGAACAACAAGTTTTTTTATGCTAAAAACGGTCAAGTAGACCATTAAGCTTACAAAAACACCAGAAATATGTCCGTGAGTTTTTATGTTGACACACGCGGGTTTGACAAATGTCGGTAAATTTAATACTTATTGTCTGGTTTATTTTGTTTAAACAAATCGTTTAAGTTTAAGACATTACAGTTTAAGGTGGATTAACTTTTTGACAGAAACTATGAGTGGGCCAGATGCAGGCAAGTTCAAGGGTTTATACCATTTAAATTTTATGGATTTCTTTGCGAATTTACAAAAAAAAAATAATGATTTAGTGAACGCATGTAAAAGCAAAAATTAACATATCACATGGATATTTCACCAGATATATATCAAGATCGACAGTGAAGTACACGTTTTTGTTGATGCTCTTAAACTCTCCAGTACTTAAGCTTTATTATCGAAAAAAAAACTTTTGCCGAATTTTGACTATCCAGGAGAAAACGCAAAATTTTCTGTGTGGTATTTTACAATTTGATTCAAAATAAAGCTCTATTCGGGTATTAGTTGAAAGGTTATTAGGCCCAGATTGTAAAAGACTTTTTGAATATGTGATCTGTCATTTTGAAAGTTTTGACTTTTTTTTCGAAATGATATATTTAAGGCAATTTTAGTGTTTTTAATTGATTTTTATTTTTTTTTTGTTTAATCGTTTGAGCTGTGGAACCTATAAATTGGCAGTAATTTTAAAATACCCTGAAAACAAGAAACATTTATTATTAAAAATCAAAATAGTTGAGTTTTTTTTAATATACATAAGAAAATTTTCCCCAACCCAACCCAACCCATTTGTTTGCGACTCAATCCTGTAAAATATTTATTTATTGTGCGATTTTAACCGGATTTGTTTTAAGGTGTAGATCTTGATAAACTATATTTTTGGAGCAAAAAATGCCATATTTGTACAAAATACAAGGCCTACTATGACAATTTTTAAGAGTAAATTTTTAGGAATTCATATTAGCAAGTTTTTTAAACAAAATCTAAACACGGCACTGGATTCACCACATGGCACTATTACTATAAGTTTAATTTTATTTCAATGTTATTTTCATGGATAACTTGACAGAATAAATTTTTGTAGTTAATATTATGCATTTTTATACTTAACATTTTTCAATAAAATTTAGTATAAGGTCGTTTCGAGGGGTGGTGAATCCAGTGCCGTGCTTAGATTTTGTTTAAAAAAATCACTTATATAAATTCTTAAAAATTTACTCTTAAAAACTGACATAGTAGGCCTTGTATTTTGTAAAAGTATGTCGTTTTTTGCTCCAAAAATACAGTTTATCAATATCTACACTTAAAAAAAAATCCGGTTAAAATCGCACAATAAATAAAGATTTTACAGGGGTGAGTCGCAAACAAATGGGTAAATAATGTTTTTCCATAACTCAGCTTTTTCAATCTTATACCTTCGGCTTTGTATCGATTTTTTTAAATTTAAAATATAACATTTTAAATAATTTTTTTGCATAACTCAGCTTTTTCAAGCTTTGTTTCGATTTTATTGGGGCCATAAGATGTCTATGAAAATCTATATTATTTTTTAAAAACTGTTGAAAAATAAATAATATATAGATATATAGGCTCTTAAAGTTCTATTTGTGACATTATTTCCATTATGACATCCTATATCTTCTATTACAAAACACAAGATCTTCAATAAGTTTTACAATTTCGCCCTGGTGGGTAAAGTTTGCAAAATAGCCAAATATTGTTAAATTTTACTCTGGTCTAACAATATTTCATTGTCTGAGAAGCTGTTTATAAGTGAAATTAAGTTATTTTTCTTTGTTTTTGATAATTACATTATAAAATTTGATACATTTGTTGAGTTTGATATTTTTCAATGTTTTACAGAATCCTGGCCCACAGTGCGGCGTAATTGTGGCATACCCAAATTTAGTACCTAATCTGTCCGCAAACTTCAGCGCCCAATTAAAATTATCATGTAACATTTTAATGCAACAATCGTTTTAATTGAACAATCATATTAATTTCATTTAAAATTATCATGTAACATTTTATTTCAACAAACATTTTAAATAAACAATCATTTTAATTTATCAATCAAAATAATTCCCTACATTATTATGTTTGAATTAAATTGTTTGTTTATAATTTTAATTCTTTCATTTAAATGGTGGCTATTTTTATGTTGGTTACATTAAAATAAATGTTAAATTAATTTGTTACATGATAAATTTAATTCCTTATTTAAAATTTAAAATAAAAATTTAAATATAAGGAAACATTTTTTCATCATTTAATTTAAATGTGCAAGGTTTTTAAACAATCAATCAATTGTAAACTTAATAAATAGACAATCAATTAAATTAATTTATATTTGAAAAATTATTTTTTTAATAATTTAAACCAAAAATAATTTCTATGATTCCTTATTTATTTTGTTACATTTAAATTGATTGTTTTGAAAACTGTGATTAATTAAATAAAATAATTAAATAAAATTCTTTATATTTAAATTTTCATTTTAAGTTTTAAACAGGCACATAAAAGGTTTGAATTTAATGTAAGGAATTTAAATTATCAACAATAATTTTAAAGCATGTAACATAATAATTTAACAAACAAAAAAAACAACAAACATTTTAATTCAGGAATTAAAAAGTTTGTTAATAATTTTAATTTCTTAATTTAAATTTTTGTTATTTTTTGTTAGTTGATTTAATATGTTACATGATGTAAAATGATGATAATTTTAATTCTTTCTTTTTAATTCAGGAATTAAAATTATCAACAAACATTTTAATTGGTTGCTGTAGCTAGCGGGCGATATGAGTACTACTTAAAAGGTTCACTTGGCAATGTGGCATCTTGAAAATCGTGAAAAGACGTGACCGTTTAGTGAAGGAGTATAATAACACAGGCACCCAAAAAAAAGGTGGTCGATCCGGCGGATCTGAGTAGTATGACTATATGCATTGACCCTCGCTGAATCCGAATCTCCTGTCGGATTTAGCCGATTGGCTCGTTTTTTCTAACCTCAAAAAACCGTAAAATTTGTACAAAAATTTACCTCAAAAGAATTGATCTTAAATTAAATAATATTGCAAATAAAATAAAACTGGTAACCTTCAAACAAATTTTCGTTCGAACAAATTTACCTTCGAAGAAATTTGAGGTTAGAAAAAAATCCGACAGCAGATTAGAATTCACCGAGGGTCAATGCATATAGTAATACTACTCAGATGATCTGACTCAGATCTGCCGGACCGACCACTTTTTTTTGTGTACCTGTGTAATCAATGGTTTAAACGTTGCATGTGATTACTCTTCTGCGGTTTAATAAAGATGCGAAGTAAACTTTTTAAATAGTACTCACATTGCCTGCCAACTCCAGCGCCCAATTAAAATGTTTGTTGATAATTTTAATTTTTGAATTAAAATGAAAGAATTAAATTTATTATTATTTATTTAATTCATCAAAACAAATAATTCGCTACATTATTATGTTTGAATTATATTGTTTGTTTATAATTTTAATTCTTTCATTTAAATGGTGGCTATTTTTATGTTAGTTAAATTTAAATGATTGTTGAATTAATTTTTTACATTATAAATTAAATTCCTTATTTAAATTTAAAAATTTAAAATATAAAATTAAATATAAAGAAACATTTTCAATTTATATGGGCAGGGTTTTGAAACAATCAATTAATTGTAACAAACTAAATAAAGAATCAAAAAAATGTAAAAAACAAATATTATTAACTAAAACGGCGTTCCATATACTTACTATACTACCATCAACAGAGGCTAATATAAAATGGTTGATTCATTAGACTCTAACAAACATATGTGTAGGTACAACCGATCTGTGGTACAATTTTAACAGGTTTGTATGCCCAATGTTGTGAGTCACGACCAGTGTTATTCTGTCTATTACAATTATACTATATACAGGGTGTCTCAAGGACAGCAGAAAAGGGGTAAATAGAGAATGGGATTCTAAGTCGAATGGAATAGAGTAATTGCATCAAAAATGAAAATCCCTAAAAACCTTTTTATTGTAATCTAGAGGTAAAAACACATTGCGAAAATATTTTTTTATATTCCAAAAGTTCAACCCCGGCCCAAAATATCAAATTGAAAA